CATAAACAGAGATGTTACTCCTAACCTCTATCCTCCATAAACGCTGTAAACAAAAAAAGAAACTAATAAGTGTACAACTTTGCATTCCACCATTTTTCTATCTTCTTTTTCTATATTAAAAAAAAAAAAGTTAGGTTATATTCAAATGTTTCGCGCATTCATCGAAATCTATAGTCAACAGATGGCACTGCTGGATGAATCTGTATCCTTTTTTTATTATTATTAAATTAATTAATTATTTTCTAAATAAATGAATGTAATCAAAACCTAGTTGTATGCAAGTGCAACATTGTGTCAAAATTTCAAGACAATTGGTAAAGTTATTTTTGAAGATTAGAGGTTAGGAACAAACGAAATTTACATTTTTATGTATATATATATATAGATTTATGTAAACAAAACAAAATATAAAATTATGAAAAAGAATTATTTCTACAATTAATGTTAAGTATGACAATGAGATTATTTGAAACATCTAAGTGTTGCAAACAATATTGCAAACATGAATTTGCAAATACACGCGAATTATTTCGAAAGACAAATTTAAAATATTCCATAAATTTATGGGAAATGTATAGACGAATAGAATAAACCTAAGAAGGGTAGAAAACTTTCTCTTCCTTGTTGTGACTCTCTCTTTCTCTCTCTCTCTCTCTCTCACACACAATCGATATTTCTAATACAAGATTCCAAGAATGTTTCCGGAACCGATCGATTTGTTCGATACTATCATTTTTGTACTTTCTACGAAACGATTACACGAACAATACGATAAAATTCACAACTAGATCTTAAACTATAATTTTTCTTTTCTATGTTATATTATATCATTAATCATTTATTATTAATTATTTAACGACACAATGTGTGTTTTCAAAGAAACAAACTTAGATTAACACTTTTAATTAATCATTTTTTTTTTTCTTTTTTTACAAACACTTTCGTAAAAAATGAAACAATCATTGTGAATTTTATATAAAATTTCTATACTTTCTAAATTATTATCATTTATTATTAAAGTTTCTCTTGAATGATATAGTTCAATAATAAAAAAAGAAAGAAATGTAATAATGTTTCTAACTATTAATATTACGAATAGAAAAATGTACTTTTCAATGTAATATAGTATTTTTTATCAAAATATGTAAATTATGTAAATTGTGATATTTAGAGTTAAAACCTTTCGAAACCCAAAACCATCAAAATTTATTACTTGAAAAGTTAGCATACAACCAATCAAAAAAAAACTTAATAACGTTCCAAACTATTAATAAACATTTTTTCCAAATTTTAATATTACGAATAAAAAAAATGTACTTTTCAATGTAATATAGTATTTTATCGAATTATGTAAATTATGTAAATTATGATATATATGGAATTAAAACCTTTCGAACCCTAAAACCATAAAAAAAAATTGATTACTCGAACAATTTATATGCATCCAATAAAAAATTTGATTTTCACTTATTCATTTTCAAAATAAAAAACACTCGGTATGCGTATGTGCATGTGTGCGTGTATGTATTTATGGATATAAAAGTAACACAACATGTGTACTGCTAAGAAGAAGATTACTATGAAAGAGAGCGACAAAGAGAGAGAAAGAGAGAGACAGAGATAGAGACAGAGAGAAGAAACATTTCTCGTGACAAAGTAGTCGCGTGGGCAATGAAACTGAACGGAAGTTCAAAGAGCGAATGATAAAACAGAACATTGCTAATTCTAAAGACGGAAAAGATTCATTTAGTCTATATTAAAATATACAATGTTATACTTATACATGATACGTATAAAAATAAAATTAAATTTGTCTAATGAAAAAAATACAAAATAATTGTATGACAAATGAAATTAATTTCATAATCGTATAATTCATAAAGTCAATTCAATTTTTGTGAATAAATCAAATTTTGATTGGTGTATTTAATAAAACAAAGTTGACCAATAAATCTGGAAAATGTGACTGAACTTAGAAAAAAAATTTTAATGTCATATTGTAGTCCTAAGTTTTGCATGCAACTTTTGTCCTTTATCCACATTTTCCAACTATTATACTTTCGGAGTTATTTAGATGGCAAGAGTTGGTGAATCATCCTGTATATATTATACATATACATATAACATATTGTAACATAACATATATTTAAGAATAAATGATAATATCTAATACAAAAATACAAAATAATTGTATGACAAATGAAATTAATTTAATAATCGTATAATTCATAAAGTAAATTCAATTTTTGTGAATACATTAAATTTTGATTGGTGTATTTAATAAAACAAAGTTGACCAATAAATCTGGAAAATGTGACTGAACCTAGAAAAAAAATTTTAATGTCAAATTGTAATCCTAAATTGTGCATGCAACTTTTGTCCTTTATCCACTTTTTTTGCAACTATCATAATTTCGGAGATATTGGAACTATATCATTCATAAGAAACTTTAATAATAAATGATAATAATTTACAAAGTATAGAAATTTTATATAAAATTCACAATGATTGTTTTATTGATACTTACGTATTAACGTCACCGTAACAAAATTTCTCTAATGCGAACACCGTAATTTGTTGCGACAAATCATAGAATAAAACACTTTATTTAAAATCAAAACACTTTCAAAAATCAAAAAATTTTATTTCTAAAAAGTAGTTAATCGGATTTCGGTGGAAAATGGGCCGATATAAAATTTAACATAGATTCAAAACAGTCTCTATTTTCTTTCACCTGATGCTGTCGCCATAAACCTGACGAAACCCTGACGCAACCCTGACGGTTGCTGTATGCAAACAACAAGGTTGTTGTGTGCGAACAACAAGATTGCTCTTTATTGGCGCATTAGCGGAATTTTTGCTGCGGTGGCGTTAATACGTAAGTACCATTTTATTTTTTACGAAAGTGTTAGTAAAAAAAAAAAATAATTAATTAAAACTATCATACTTATGTGACAAGAGTTGGTGAATCACTCTGTATATATTATACATATACGTATTGTAATATAACATATAGTTAAGAATAAATGATAATATCTATTAAAATCAACTAAAGTAATCAAATAACATCGTCAAACAAATTTTTCTATTCTTCTTAACACTTCACAAGTGTTTCACAAATCGTTCTCAAATCAAGTTTAATATATTACAGTGATCTCAGTCACGTGGAATGCAACGGAGCGTGAGAAAACGCACAAATCTTTACGCTTGTTTTGTATTATAAACAAATAATAGAACGTGGTCGAGAATTTCTATTCAATGTTCTATTTGATAATTCGAAAAAATGCAAATATATAAAAGTATGTGGTAGGGATAGAAAAATTTTGATTGTAACATTGGAAACAAAACGTTTTTGTGTTAAAAATATCACATTTATAGAAACTTATTATATTTTGAAGAAAAGAATTGAACAGAAATATTTTGGAATTGTATATTTGTATTTTTGGATTAAATAGAAAAATGAAATAATTTATAATTTATTTATTTATTATAATAAAACGTTTGAATTTATTTCATGATTTATTATGGAACAAAATAAAATTATAAAGGTATTTTGATTGGTGTATTTAAAAAAAAAAACGAAGTTAACCAATAAATCTGAAAAATGTGACTGAACTTAGGAAAAAAATATTAATGTCATATTGTAGTCCTAAGTTTTGCATTTTTAATTTTACTTTTTTGCAACTATCATACTTTCGGAATTATTTAGGTGGCAAGAGTTGGTGAATCACCCTGTATATGTTTTATTTATTAAATTTTTTATTAANTATATATATATATATATATATATATATATATATAGAATTAGAATAATAATTTTTGATTTAAAATTCGATCAGAGTAGAGATAACAAATGAATTAGGAACTAATGGAAACTATTATATTCTATTTTGTGGGATTTATGTTAAAATGAAATTATTAATAGAATATTATTATTATTATTATTATTGGATCAATCAATTGATCGATCAGATTCGATTCGTGTTTGTGGTTATTCGTAATTTCCGTTTTATGATTGAATATTTAGAAATGAATTTGTTCTGTGGTGAATGTGTGGGATGATGTGTTATACGATATGTGTGTTTGCTAGCGGATGTTTGCTCATGTTTCTTATCACGATCGGTTCGTTGAGAAATATCGATAAATATGCTGAGGATAGCTGTTTCATTCGTTTGTGTGTACCATAAAAAAGACTAACTCAACTGAATCATTTTACTTGTGACTGGATAAAGAAGCAGCTTTCTTGGACTAACAATAAGCCTCACTCACATCAGTGGTGTTACACACCTGTTCAGTTTAAAGGAATTTCGCTTTAATAGGATCGTATGAATCAAATCTTTCTTTGTTTATCTATATTATTTGCCTAGTCATAACTTTTACAAACATTAGTTTAAAATGTATTTTTAAAATCAAACAAAGAAAGAGAGAGAAAATTAGATCACACGAGAAGATGATATACAGTCGGATACAAAAGTAAATGTGATTTGACAGTGAATTAAAATATGATTTATAAGTGCAATTAATTGTTAATATTATTCAACGTAAATTTCATTTATATGATTTATTTTATTAATGGCGTTTGCTCGATGATATCATTTTTCCACGTTAATGATTATTAGCACTAGAAAAGAATAAAAAAAGAAAAAGGTGTTTTAGACTATAAACGAACGAGTTGTTCTATCGAACCATTTAACGATTATTCATAAAATTAATGAAAACAAAAATTCATTCAAATGAACTACTAATTTACATGTTGTATAACTATTGAACGAATATCAAATGAATGTTTTAGCTACAATTGAATGAGTGTCTGGAAAAAAAAAAAAAAAACAGTTTACACGTTACATATTGCAAATTGCACAAGATAATAAGAAAAATTGATGAAATATAATGAACTATGAAATGAAATGGCCTGAATGACAAGTCAGGTAAAAAGGGCTTGGCACGTAACGTGTTAAATAATATATTAAAATAAAATGTGTATAATAATAATATCTTACCAACTTTATCCTCACGTTGGAATCTATGCAAACGATGCCTAGCCTTGAGCTCGAGTTCCGAGCCAGGTAAACGTCTATGTGCAAAATCGAGAAGCCTAGCTAGTAAGGGATGATTCGGTGGTGTCTTCCAATCACCTGGATAGGCGTCGAGCCAAACGTGAAGCGCCTGAATGAGGGTTTTTCGATGTTGTTCACCGGTGAGGGCACCTGTACTTTCGTCGAGAGCATCGTACCTGGCGAGAAGCAGTTCGAGGACTTCTCGCGGTGTTGTAAAAGCACGATATGTTGCAAGGAAGACGTTGATGTAGGTCGACTCGAGTTCCCCATCGTCGTTGGCTAAACTCTCCACGAGACGTTGAACGGTGCCAGCTTTTAAAAATCTCACTCTTACGGTCTCCCATTCTAAATGTGAAATCTCGTCGTCCGAATCCTAAGAAATAAATTCATTCTATCAATCTTTTCTATTTATATATTTTATTTATATAATATTGTATTATAATAAATTATATATATAATTTACAACATAATTTATGATATTTATATGACTATATAATTTTAATTTTATATAATATAATTATATATATATTTATTTATTTATTATATAATTTTATTTATATAATATTATATAATTATAATTTTTATTAAATTTACTATATTATATTATATAATTTTAATTTTATATAATTATAAAATATATTATATATAATTTATAAATTTTTTATTATATAATTATTTATAATTTTATTAAATTTATTATATTATATTATATAATTTTATTTATATAATATTATATAATTATAATTTTTATTATTTTTATTATATTATATAATTATAATTTTTATTATATTTATTATATTATATTATATAATTTTAATTTTATATAATTATATAATATATTATATATAATTTATAAATTTTTATTATATAATTATAATTTTATTAAATTTATTATATCATATTATATAATTTTAGTAAATAATAAATATTATATTGTACTATATTATATATAATTTTAATTTTATAATATAATTATACAATTTTTAAACATCTATTACATATAAAATTTTCTAACAAATTTTAATTAATTTACTGTATAAGATTACAAATAAAGAATTTGTTCTTAAAATTATATTTCTTTTTGAAATGAATATTTCTCATAGTAAAAATTGACATGTGACATTAAAAGAGAAAGTGTGATAAAAAAAAAAATCCGACAGTTGATCAACATTTAAAATAAAATTACGAAAGTGATGTCAATCCTGATGGTTTAATATTATGTATAATTTGTGTAATACATGTACATATGTACAATATATTAAATATTATAAAACTTCAAAAAAAAAAAAAAAAAAGGTGGAAAAAAACTTTTTGAATAAAAATCCGTAATAATTGGAACGTAGTTTTAATTAAAAGAAAATGAAAAATGTGACAATAAAAAAGAAAAAGAATTAAACTTACCGATGCGGAAAGGCTTCTCGTAGGTCTGTGATAACGAACTTTCTTCAAATAGACAGTATATATGACGCCATCGCCCCTTTCCTCGCCCCATAAGCGCCACGTGGGCTGTAAAAAAAAAAGAAAAAATAGAGAACGGTGCCAACTTGATTAGGAAACGAAGCGAAAATGCTAAAAGAAACGGGGGTAGGGGGTAGGGGGTAAAGGGAAGGGTGGTTTGTAAAGTTGGAATAGTTGGTTGCAGTAAACTCGTGAAAATACGAGTATTTGGGAGAGTACTATAATAATAACCATAATAATAATAATAATAATAAGAATAGAATTGCATCTGTTGATAATTAACGTACCTAATTTCACGGACTATGAAAATTACATGCATGCATTCTCCTTTAGTCTATCTCTTTCTCTCTCATACTCTTTCATAATAATAATAGAGAGGAGGCTAATCAATGAACGCGTTATTGTTCAACCATGTACCCAGCGAATTTATTGGGATAATTGAAACCCCCTGGGTTAGTTTTCACTCGACAGATTTGACCTCGCGTATTCTTTCTGGTTCTTTTTTTCGTTCGTTCGTTCGTTCGTTCGTTCGTTGTATGTAGACGGCAACTGACAATGAACAACAACAATGATAACGATGACGATGACAACAACGATGACCACGAAGAAGACGATGATGATGATGATGATGATGATGATGAACGGTTAGAGTACCCATCATTGATCCTTTTATATGTACTCTTCTAAACTAAACCGGATGAGACATTTTATCGTTGAACAACGATACTCGTTTCGCAAACCATCACACGAGATGTATCATCAATTGTATCAACGTTACCGAAATGATAATGTCAATGGTGGGGTACTAATGGTTGTGGTTTTATTAGTGGTGGAGATGGTGGTGTTTGGTGTCTTTGAGTTTTCTGTTCTATTTATTTTTTTTTTAATCTAAGAATTGAGATCTAATTGAAATCACTTTTATTCGTCGAATATAATTTCGGTTTCTTTATTTTATTTCTATTTGTTTTGTTTGTTTAAAGGTTATTATTGGATAATAAATTATCAGCATGCAATGGGACAACATATGTATATATAACGTGCAAGTAAAAGGAAATTATAATAGCTATAATATGAAAGTATGATTATAGAGGTATAAATATGAATTAGGTTAATTAAAAACGTCTATATAACTCTAATAACGTAACTATTAACTTACATAAATATTTATATATATATATATATACACAGAATAATTTTTATTCTTATTATGTATTTAACATTTCTATGTAATTATTATATAATTATAACAATACTGTAATAGGAAAGGTGGATTTTGAAGAGNTTTATTTATTAAATTTTTTATTAAATTCATTTGCCTTTTGTCCTCATCTACTTTTTTGCAACTATCATACTTTCGGAATTATTTAGGTGGCAAGAATTGGTGAATCACCCTGTATATGTTTTAAATACATAACGCATTATAAACAATTGGAGTAATAAATTTGTATGGTTTTGGGGTTTCGAAAGGTTTTAATTCTATATATTATAATTTACATTGTATCATTTAAATACATAACGTGCATTATGTATTATGTTCATTTTACAAAATTTAATTATTTAACAACCGATGATGAATTTGAAATTGACGACATGTAGATATATTCATAAATAATTAATACGTATATTCCAACTAATAATTATATAGTTTGAAATACAATAATATATTTCGTATTTTGTAAAATGAACAAAAGAATTTTCTCACCTCCCGGGTTTGTAATTCTAACAGAAAAATCTAAAGTTCAGGTTTCCGGTCAGGTAACGCATAATTACACGGTTCCGTAGTTAGCTGTCGTTGTTGGCCATCACGTTAATTTAAGTATATTACTAATGTAAGTAGCGAATAGACAATTAAATTTAAAAGTTTGTTGCTAAAAGCCTTAAGGGCTCAGGATGACGATGATGATGATGATGATGATAATAATGATGAGTCACGTGTCAGGAAATTAAATGTCATGAGTACTTTAAGATTATAAACTCAAGTTGCGTGTGTAAACTCACATCAACGTGAAATTACATTTACTACATTTATTTCAATTATTATTTCAATTATAATGCAACAAATAATACGTGTGCTTGAAACTTTTTAAAACTCGTTGAAAGTACAACGTTGCTTACTTTAAATAAAATACAAAAATATTTGTGAAATGTGCGTTCACGAATAAAAACAACAAATGAATTATTCTACAAAAATATAATATAA